TGCCCTGTTATCAGCTCGTGGTAGTTCTATTGATTCGTCTGTGCTTGATGACGCTAGAACTGGTTGCTCTCGGTATGTGTCGAATGATGGGGAATCCAGGTCAAGTTTATCAAGTTGTTCAGCAAAATCTGGTGAGACGTTGAATTCGTCAGTATTAGCTTTTGGTACTGCAGTAGCCTTTGTATCAGTAGCCTGCGGATCAGCAGTGCTATCTTTGCTTTTCAGTGATAGTTGCGGTGTACCGAATAGCACTTCCTTCTTTTGAAAGGCTGGACGTTTTGGGGTTGGTAAAACGTAGTTTTGAGGTCTGCCTAATGGTTTCTTCATGACTCGATTATTCTGTTGCAGATATTGATTGTAGTACAAGATGTATTGCTGATTGTCCCACAAGAACTCTGTATCCTTGAGAAACTTCCTAACTGCTGCAGCAGTAGATGCCCTTGAGTGCACCCAAGTGTCAGGTATGACTACTTTAGAGTCTGGATTGGCTCTGTATCTCAGAATGAAGGTGATTCTTGCTAGTGTTTCAGCATTAAGGTCTTTTGCTGTGCCGTGCTCAGATTGTTTGAATTCCCACAGCTGCGTAGCTGTTTTGATGATCAATTCATCAATCTCGGCTCCTTTTGACGTCATATATGACGGGGTTTTGACGACAAGCTGATGTGTGGATGACACGGACCGACGTATGACTTTGTTGAACTGAATGTAGGAAAGACGGAATCGCAAAGAAGGAGTCAGAACTGTAAAACAGGGTACTCAAACAGAATTGGTGTATGACTGAACGATAGTAAATCACTGAAATTGAGGAAACTTGAAAGTTGCTGAATCGAAAGGAAAGGTTGATTATGAGATGGACGGATTGTTTAACTCAGGTGTTTTGGTGAGGGAGTGAGTTGATTTCCTTCCTTTTTAGGAAGGCGGTCAAACGCGTCAACGCAGATTTGACCAAAGTGGGATTGTTCAACAAGTGCAGGGTAATCCTCTGCTATTCTTGTCTGTCATTCAACGTTGTAAAGTAGATGAAATAAATGATGATATTGAATGATTGGATCGTCCCTAATCAATTCCTGGATGCCCAGGACATGCTACCATTTGGTAAGCCTATGGTGGTCGATGCCGTATGTCGGGGAAGATGCCTTCTTTCCTAAGTCAAGAGCTAAGCTACGAAGAAGTAAAGCATAAGATCACATGATCATGGAACTGTTGGCATACAACACTGTGCATCTGGGTTATTTCTGAAGATGGGAAAATAATAGTACTCATAGGAGATCTCCTTGCATAGTATATCAAGATAGTGCAGAAGATGGAAAACCTCTGTCTAGGCAAGGTAGGCATCAGGCCTGAAGCTAAACTTATCAGGGACTTAGACAGCAAGTGCTGGGTCCTTACTAAGATAAAGGATCTCTTCTGCTAAGATAAGGATTAGGAAGACACCACTACTAATTCTGAACCATTCTACATTAGCTTTGTCGCCTTAAGGAATGCATAGGAGTGATAGGGGATTGGAGTTATATAAGGAGCTATTAGTTATTAGAATAAGTCTTAGAATATTGAATTGCTCTAGTAGTGGCGCTGTGGTTAAGTATTAGTCTGCTTTCTCTCTGTTTGATATCTGACATTGCTATATAGAGATAAAACTCACTATAGTATAATATCACTTTCCATTTATCCTGATCGCTAAGATGTCGCAGACAGGACTAGGTAGAGAGCAGTGATAGGAGGAACAGAATTAAACCACAGAATACTAATATATTCAATGATATGACCCACATAGTCTAAGCAGCACACCTTATTTAGGGCTCCGTCTCAGCTCCTGTCTATTATTATAAATAAAGAAATATTTCTTAGATCTGAACCACAGCAAGCCATTTAAGAGACCCATCTCAGAATCTCATTCACTATTACTCTGGCAGAGATTCTCTTCTTCCTTAGCAAAGGCGTCAATGTCCTTATCTTTTATATCATCAGCGGCCATGTTGTGCTTTCTGCTTTCCATCACATAGGGACTGTGGTTTAAAAGAAAAGAGCGATTTATTTCAGCCTCCCACAATCAGGGAGATGGTGGATGGCCATGATTCTGTTTACGCAATCATCGACACTCAACTGGCAAACAGGTCAGCGCTGCTACACTAGACCCTTGCATAGACAGAGAAATGGAATGCTGCCGCACCTATAACTTGCACCGTGAGACCCAATGATACAGGGCCTTATTCAACGTACCAATAATATGGAATCAAAGCCCGAGCGTTGGCTCAGTCACTAGCGGTGTAGCTTATAGTGCATGTAATCTTTACTATTTTATGTCGTATCACATAACCAGGGTCACGGGAGAAGCTGTGCATCACGTAGCTGCCCTCAAAGCTAAGAGCAAATGAAGCATCTGTACGTGACAATGACCGGCGAGAACATCATAGACCCGATATCTGCTCGGAAGTACACAATGTGGGCGGTGTAGGTCTCTACTGTACACGTCTTTTGTACAACATAACATTTGAAGAGGGATATCAGAACAACATGCAGGCTACGGAATGATTCGGCTCGTAAAGCGAGGTGAGGAGAAATGCTGTTCCATTCCAGCGGTGACCGAGACACAGTTGAGCTGAAAGCCCTGAAAGGTAGGCTATAAATCTGCCATACTTTGCCGCAATGGACAACACGAACCAGATTCAATTTAAGCTCAGAAGAAGCTGAACCTACTTGGCAATACATAGCCCGTTATAAGGAAGCTAGTTATTGCATTCTTCAGTTCGCAGATATGCAGATGAAGCTCGTTGCTGCGCTGTTGGCACTTAGCTTGCCATTAGCTTTGGCCGCTCCGACGAGTATGAATCACATCTATCCTATCTTTGGTTTGTTTTACTGACTATTATGTGTAGCTAGCAAGGATAGCGAGGCCATACCTTACTACCCCAGGCGTGACAATAACGGCGAAGCCATTCCATACTACCCGAAGCGCGACAACGAGGGTGAAGCCATTCCATACTACCAGAAGCGCGACAACGAGGGTGAAGCCATTCCTTACTACCCTTGAAAATAAGGAGTGAACTCAAACCTTTACACCGGATCACTTCAGTATTTCTAACACAATATACAAATCGGACAGCCATCAGGACCTTGATGGGTTTTGCAAATTACTCAGCTGTTGCACTGATTTACAGTTTTTCCACCTCGAGGAAGGGCGCGGCACTTTCCGTGAGGGCCAGACCGACACAGCAGAGCCGACCACGAATCTCCTGTTGTGCCTTGGTCAGCACCAAAACCTGAAAGCGTTGGCGCTGATGACCCCCCGTTGTTGGCCAAGCTTACGATCAGTACTTGCGACATTGCCAAAAACGGAACAGCGAGAACCGTGGCCGAGCATGAAAGCGTTATACCTCCGGAACTGGGACCCCGATTGGTGGCAACAATTACCAAATTTCAAGGAGCTTCAGATACTCAGTCTGCGACCCGCATCCGAAGTCGCCGCCATCAATCGGACTGCAATTGATGAGATTGCAAAATGCCGAAAACTACGGGTTATTGAGGTCGAATTGGATGAGCTTGACGATGTAGAAGCACTCCTTCGTATAGCGCATGGCTGCCCCCTTTTGCGAAAGCTCAATGTTTACTTTAGGAGGAGGGGAGAAATGAGCGAGGACCTGTTTTTAGGATTGTTGCGTGCTCTTCCTTGTTTGGAAGTTCTCGAACTTAGCTGGCCAGCCTGTATGGATGGTGCAACGCTCCAAAAGCTGGCACATCACTGTCCGCGATTGACCGTGCTTGAACTGCCTCAAACCGAACTGCGCCTCTCTATGAGGCTAATGAGAAACCTCCATTCACTCCCACATTTAGAGGTCATGCGTGTCAAAGGGATATGCTTTGAGAATCCACGGCGTTTGATGCAACACGGCAAGATCCAAAGCATCGCTACGGAATGGCGAAGGATATTTCCAAAACTTCGAGATATGCCATGTCGAGCAGACTTCTGGTCTCTGTATAGGATGGAAGACAATTTCAGTGAGGGATCAGAAGACACCAGCAGTGTGAGCGCCAACGAAGACACGTCGTTGACGGAGCCACGGCACGAGCCTAACGACTACAAGTCTGACTGCTGTAATTTGAGAACGAAACTCTGGAAAGTCCTAGGTTATGGGGGAGACAGGGATAGTTATGACAGAGTCCCATATATGTGGCAGACCAATCTGGAAATTGAGACAGTTGGTTGGCCTGTAGTACCTTTAGAAGCGTTTTTTGAGCCAGACACGCACTCCTCATCCATCAGATGACTACGGGCACTGTGGGGTGATGTCTGTACGGGTGAAGTTTATGTCCGATGGAGATTGTGTACCCCGGGCAAGATGAGGTTACCTAGTATTGAATTATATGACCGCTTACCCAATTTGGAAGGCGTACGATTTGGCTGAGCACTGCCACCCTTGGCAGAATATTCGATAGCATTCGATCATTTGAATACCTTCAGATCTGACCCCTATCTTGGGTGCCAGTTTACATAATCCTCGATTCGGCTACAGAGATTGTAACGGCTCTTACAACTACCACTCACGCAGTGTCAACAACCAAACACCAGCGAAGACCAGGGGTCTCGCATTCAACCTAGCCCCTGGTAGCTTACCTCCGGGTAAACCTTACAAACCGTCTGATTATATCAGTGGTATCTTCCCAATTGGGCCAACCATGGACAGACAAGTAGGGCGACTTCTAGATCACCAGACTCTTTGAGTGTGAGAGAAACGACAACCCTTCGCGGATACAAGGGCACTGAGGCTTCAGAAAGTATTGGCAGTACTGCTCAAGATCAAAGCGCTGTATGCCTGTCAGTCTTCGTTAACCTATCCCAGGCTATCCCGATTGCAATTTATGATTCAAAGAAACGTTGAACATCCGTACATTATCTAGTTTCTCTCCTCCAACCGGTCTCTCGGGTCTCGTTCTCAGCGTATAAGCCGTTCTTGAATCACTACCAAACACAATTACTCCTCGAGCCCAACCTTCAGGCATACCTAAGAAGCGCTTCCACGACTGTCGGTGATCATTTTCTTGATATCGTTGAGCTCCTCCTCAACTGACTTAGGATCCTCCACACCAGGTTTAGTACCGGGGACTCCTTCTGGAAGTTCATTGGGTCCTTTTGCATCCACGTCCACACCAACACCCAAAGTCATCTTAAAGGTGCCAAATGAGCGTTCTAGGCCATTTAGCAGCCCTGGACCCTTTGCCTCTGGCCCATTGGGATCTTTCCAGACTTTCACGTTGAATTGCTCTTGACTCTTGAAGGGGAAATTTTTCGGCAACTCATACTTAGATTTGGGATCCCGCAACTGGTCGTCAGTTAGGAATGGCTGCATGGGAGCCTCGGGATTCCCTGACAGGGTCACTATGAGCCCAGACGACAGTTCCGCGTAAACATCCTCACCCAGCTCCGGAGCAAAGGTGACATTGCTGGCGGAGAGCGCAGCGTTAGGGGCTTTGAGAAGCATATGCGTAATGTGCTTTTCCTCCTTGGTGCCATAGAGATAGAAAGGCATAAATTCGGAAGGATATTCAAGGTCCCGATAGATAGAGTTAAGAGGACGGCTTTTGACCACATGTGTTAACTTCACGCTGCCTGTGTAATGAGTTTCCCTGCATATGGTCAGTGTGTTGGTGATGCTAAGGGCACAGACTAGGACGTACGGCTCTGTCTTCCTGTAAATCTCGGCCCCGAACGAGGTGCTGCCAGGCGCCAATATTTTTAGCTCCGCCTCCAGGTCAATTTTGTTCTCGGATTCAAGTATGATTGTGTCCTCTGGATGGTCGGTCTTGAGACGTGTGTAGCTTCCATGGAGACGATCGTCCAATTGCGCCTCGACGATAACCTGCTGTCGTAGAGTAGCCCAGTGGAATGATGTCTGCAAGACTAGGAACACTTTAGTATTGCCCTGGACCAGGAACTTGACCTTCCTGCTGCCTTTCCTGTTTCTATCACGGCACTCCTGAACTTTTTCGGTAATAACATCTTCGAAGTCCTTCATAAGTCGACCTACGAAACCCTCTTGGGTTGGGAATGGGCTCATGACCACGTTGCGTATCACAAACATATCCTCCTCGCATGGTTTGACACCTAGTCGACTCATAAATCTCCGGACACATTTGCCGTAGAGCTTTGGCTCGAATTTTGTTGATGTTAGGAATAGGGGTATTTCCGCTAGCTCTGTGTTAGGGGAAGTTATAGACAGCTTGTCCACAACTTGCTTCATTAAGTAGTTCGCTTCTTCGAGGTCAGTATTCAAATTCCCATCTTCATCATACCAGTTGAGTGCAAACGCATTGATGTTCAAGTCTGAGCCTAGTTCGCGGAGAACTTCAATCGTGTTTTCGTCCTGCTGAATCTTTGCATTGTCTTTGTTGATGATAGCTTCCCGGATCTGTTGCCTCTTCTGCAGCACCTTTTCGGTAAAGAAGCTTTTCCCGTCTTTGGGATATTCTCCACCTGGATTCTCTGGCTTTTCTCCCTTCATTCTTTCTTCGTTCAGTAAATTAAAGGGCACACAGACAAAGTACTTGTTTGTTCCCTCCTCTTTAGGTGTATGACCCATCGTAGCATAATGTGCAGATAGCTGGCACTTGTTAGCCTCCATCTCAGACCATCTCCGGCAAAACCTACTATGGCACTGGTGTACGCTGCTTCGCCAAGAAGCGTGCCGTAACCGTGAGGATGGAGACCAACCACGATGTTTGAAAGCCACGTGGACATAGCAGCGGCCCCAGGTTTACTGTTCGAAGAAATCGCTAAGCATCTGGCTCCCAGAAATGGTGCCTGCAGCTGCATTGGGCCCTACCTTCCTTCTACCCCATAGATGCCAATGTTTTCCGATGATCCCTGTGATAGGTACGGGCTTGACCACGTCACCAAATACCTCATTCTACCGTCGCGGTACAGCAGACTTCCCGCTGGATACGGAACGTAGCCGGCTTTGTGTGGATCAACAGTAATAGAGTCGACGTCTTTCAGCTTTCGAAGATCCTCCTCGGTACTCTCTTTCAGATACAAGGATGGTACAAGTCCATTATGAACGCTTTCTCCGGACTTCTTTTTTTCTGGACTTCCCCGGGGCTTCTCTTTTTCTGGATTCAGCATTGTAGCAAAGTAGCCGCCCCACGCGGCATCGGCATGAACAAGGAATGTCATTCCATATTCATTTTGCATTTTCTCCCGGATCTTCAGGATGTCGGTGAGCCGCTCCACCGCCCCTTCCTCAGTTGAGCCCATAATAGCTACCACAGCATAGACGGCCTGATGTTTTTCGGCACAATCCTTAAGCCTTTTCTCGAGCAAAGCAATGTCTATGCGGGCATCAAAATCGACATCGATTTCGGTGATACTCCCATCACCGAGACCGGTAATTGCTAGATGGGTTAGCTTGATATCGATCTAAGAATGTCTGGCACAATGGCCACGTACCGGCCCCCTTTGGCCAAGAATAATGACGAGTCTTTCCGATAAGATACTGAATTGGCTGTTCAATCCCAAATTTCTGCTCCAATGGCTCTCGACCTGTTGTTTGAATATTGAACTCCTTTAGAGCCTTTGTCAGAAAATCACTGGTAATCCCAAACCGCTTTCTCAGAATGTCTGGCAGGTCAAGGACTGTCTTGGGCCGTAGGTTGAGCAACTCCCACGTATTCAGAGACCTGAAGTCTTTCGGGATTTCTCCTTTATCTCTACCGGCCCAGGAATTAACCTCGAAGTTTGGTATGAAGGATAGCGCGCCCTTAATATCCATAGCCCATTGAAGTGCCAAAGGGTAGAACTTCAGATTTCGCGCTGGCCTAGGTTCAGCAATAGATCTGACATAGGCTGGGCTAATGACACTTACCGACCCAGATAGATTCTAGATTGGCAATAGTACCATCGCAAGTGATGTGGCCCCATGCCAAGGGCAAGTCTTGCTTTTCCGAATTGGTGTTGTATCTGAAGAGATCGCATAGCTGCTGCCCGACTTGATACTCCGCCACGGTAGTTAAAGGGCTAGCCTCGAGAGCCACGTTGTTGGGATTATACAGCATGGTCATGAAATACCCCAACAGGGATGCCATAGTCATATCTGTACACATATGGCCTTCATACCGCGGCGTCCAGAAGGGTACTGAATGTGCTCCCAGCACCTGGGCAGTCTTCCTCACTACATTTCCGACCGTGTCTCGAACTTTGGAGAAGGCTTTTGAACGCCGGACATCTTTCGAAATGAATTTCTGTTCAAATTTAGTTTACCGAAGATACTGGATTTCGGTGCTTAACTGCAAGCATGTAACATCGCAACAAGCGCAATGCCTTAGGCTAGCTATTCACATACAGTGTCATTGGGCATGTAATCCAGCCTGGTCTCTAGCAGCTCATCTAGGATAGTATTTATGTTAGCCCGGAAATCGGGCAGGTTGGCGCCCTTGGGCCCGATGAACAAAGCGTTGATTCTATCGAATTCCTTTTCTTTTTCTTCTTTGTCTCTTCCGAATGACATGGTCGATCAAGTCGTCTCGAAGTACAGTCAATTAACAGGTTATGGGTTGGCGGTCCAGCTGTAAGGCTATGGTCTTTAACGTTGAGGTATGAGACTGGAAGCAGAAGAAATGACAGCCGTTTATATACCTAATTCCTCCCCGTGGCGGTACTGTTTGAATCGTAGGAGAACGATCTAGAGCACGTCGCAGATGTAATTGCTCCTCATCATGACGTGTTCACCCATCGACATCAACACCCTCCATAAAGCAGTCTTGGACGAATTATCTGAATTAGATACCCATATGATGGATCGGTGCTGATGCCAAGTGGAGTAGTAGCTTTCGAGCTGAGCATGTCTTGGGTTCCTCATTTCGATGAAAATGTCTGGCTGGCCATATCCGTGGGTACTCGGAGAAAGGAGGTATGGTCACTCTATGCGTCATCATTGCCAAAGAGGTAACTATATATCAAGAGTGCTAAACTGTAAGGGATCATAGATTAGGCCAGGAGGTCCGAAACGGCCCGTCTCGGGGGAATGGAAAATCAGCACATGTGGTCAGTGTTGGTACCCGGAGTGTTTTCCTGCAGTATGAATAAACCACATGGACGTGGTTAACTTTTGATGTTGAGACAAGGAAGTCAAAGGCAACATTATAGATAATAGAGAGAAGGTAGGGAATATTAAAAGATCAACATACACTGGAAATACAGGCAAGGAAAGGGAAGAAGGAAGAAATGCCTGATACCACAGAATGAAGAGCGCATGAACAGGCTTCTACAGTGTGCTGTATTCTAGTTTACGTCGCAATATGTATATACCAGCAGCGTGATTCTTTCTACCCTCCTTTCCTCTTAGGACCCTCTATGCGGCCGAGAAGGGAAATTGTGAGCATCAACTGTGCGTAAGGAATTTATCATGGCTATCCGGTTGCAGGAATTATCGATCATAAATTTTCGTGGTTTATCTTGTGTCCTACCGCCTCCGGTCTGTTGGGTCCGCAACCATGAAGAGCCGACTGGTAGTTAGCACTCTGATGCTGACAAATTTGGATCTAGAATATGAATATGAGTCCCATAGACTCTTATTCCATGTTCACTATGTATTTGTGGGGTCTAAATAGTCAATTGACATTTACGGAGTACGTCACATGTTTGTCATCCCCTAGGATACAACTAGGCAAAATTTGATCTTCAGTTCTCGATATAGCATGTGGAAACAAGTTGCCAAAGTAAACCTACCTTAATGCATGTTGAATACGCTTACCTTTGGACACTGTTATTAGAATTTCCAGCTCAAGGTCGGAACTGGTACCATGTCTTATTGTAGACGTACAATCTTTGAAAACGGAAGGTGTCGACTGAAATGATGTCTGATTCTTACAGAAGCCATCACTCCTATCGGTATAATCAGTGCTTTTGGTGAGCCCAAGTTGTGGCAATACATGAGCTAAATAGGGCCTGGACTTAGGTACAAGGTTGTCATTAACTATTCGCCACCTGCTGGATTTAAGACAACCTCTCTGTATAAAAGCAATTGGTTTCCCGACTTTGGATTCTTGGTTCTTAAAGACTTTCTGCCGCAATTGAATCCTTTGTATCCAGGTTGCAGCACCAACAGACAATGAAGGATTCCGTATTTTCCATCATCGCTGCTCTCGCGCTCCCTTCTCTCGCTCATCAGCATTTCATTTGGAGACCTTATTTAGACGATCCAGGTACTATCTTCATCCACAACGACTGCCCATTCGATGCATACTTTTCAGAAGTTTGGCAGGGCGGGCATGATGGCCCTTCTTATCTTGGGCCATTTGAAGGCACGAAAATCCAACTCCGTCAGGAGGGTGAGGTGGACGTGAAATTCAGTCAGGACTCTGGTCCTCCGCATAACCCAATGGAGCTGTGCTATGAATTTGATTCAACTAGCACCTCATACATATTTGACCTGGTCGCAAAATCGCCTCGGCCTGATTTTGGCGGGTCTATCTCTATTATTCCTAACCCATCTACTGGAAGATGTCAGGAGAAGTACTGGCAACCTGGCAAACCTCCGGTGCCTCCAGAGGAGCAGGTCTGTCGCGCTGGTACAAATATCCAAATAAACCTGTGCTGGTGATCCTCCGTACTATCAGGCCAGTCTCTCAGATCCCGTTGCTGGCTTATACTGATTTTGCATTCAGCAGTTCTACTAAAAGGAGAGGTCAGACATCATATTGGTGAGAATTAGTTCCGCTGGTCAACATGGCTGTGGCAACTTAAGTCTCATCTTTTAATACTCCTGATCTGGTTCTGATTTGGGAATTTTTCCAATAATCTGTGCCTTCCTTAATTAATTTGTTGTGTATATGTTGGACGTTACCAAGGAAAGGAAGGAACTTTGTTAATCTAATATGATATGGGGTCATGCTACCATGCTGCTTCCAAATCAATTCTTGAGAACTCTTAACATTAATCGGTGCACAGATAAATCTATCCTATAAATCATAGGCAGTGGTTGGAGTGGCGTTGCCTTTCCATTAGTATTGATTTCTAGCGAAAATCGTTAAAGACTAGGCAGGCTTGGACACAGTCATTTCGTGGCGTCAAGCATGTCTCTCGCAGCTCGTTCTATTAGAGTCCTCCAAGACTAAAGAGCTCCCATCTGCCACCCTTGTGTTCAATCCACTCCCTGCCCTCTGGCTCCACAACCCTGCTCCAGCCCCTGATCAATGCTCTCCAGTAGCACGGCTCGGCGGCGGGACTCAGATATCCTCCGTCGTAGAACAACTCACGCTGTCGATCACCGATGCCCTGCGCTATTGTGGGATGATTCCCCAACCACGCGATGGTAGCCTCGAGATCGGACCAGTCCGGCGAGACCACCACCAGATTGGCATCTCCGGCATCGAGACCAGTTGGCCAGGCTCGCTTGATGCGATCCGACTGATGGGGACGTCCCAGCCTGGGCTCCGTCTGCAATATTGTGCTCGAAAAGTCTGGTCGCACGAGATGTGTGGTGTGCAGCATCCATGCCATGGGCGGCACCTGATGGAAAGGCAGCCGTCCAGAGTAGGTTACCCCCTCTGTGTAAATGATGTCCTTGTACCGACAGAAAGTCCTCAATGGCCAGCTCGTTACTGGCCGTCTGGCCGTTGGTTTCCCATTTCAAAGCTTGTACGTCCGCCCACGGTTTGCTCGTGGTAACCTGAAGTAGTCGCTTGCGGCGATCATGGTTTTGCACGTCGTTGAACCAAGATGTCAGGACGAAGGAAGTGGAAAAGAAGTCAAGGAGGGCAGGCAAAATGTCTTCGCGCCTTTTGTCCGGGGGCCCCGCGGGGACCCTGACTTCTCAGGGCCATATTCCCTGCCCTTAGTCGCGCATTGTCAATGCTAAGTGAAGCAGCTAGAAGACTGGCGTCGACACACGGAGGAAGGGTGAGTGTTGGTGTTGAAGAGGTGAGCGAATCACCACGGATGGGTGAGGGAATCACCTGACTCACCTGGCTCACCCTCTTTAAAGCGGCAATGGCTCAAAGAGGAAAGGAAAGCGTCCGCGTAGATTTTTGAACGATAGTATTACCTATCTATCACTAGGAATATGAACAATTTTGCGGTATCCTTAGGAGTCAACATAGCACCGGTAGGTTACTGAGATGTTCATAATGGGTACAGCCCTGGGGTCATAGTCGCAGCAGCAAGGTAAATTCATCGGGCGCGCCCTAAGAGAAGGCGAAACGTGGATAAGATCAAGAATTTACCCAGGCCCTCAATCTACGGATAAAATTGACAGTTTTTGACTAGTTTATATAAGGCTTCTGCAAGGTTGACTTCTACCGAGTCATTGGCAATCTTGTAATTTCCCTGTTTCAAAAGAAACACTGTGCCGCATTTTAGGCCCATATTCCTCGTGTAGAGAGGGCCCACGAAGATATATTTTGAATTCGCTAATCTCGTACCGTTCATGGATTACTATTAATTCATATGGCCAATTGAAATCAATGAAGGTCTGGTTCTTCTAAACGAATGACTATCTAGCTACTATTTATCCCTTTCGATAGCGGTGGAATTGAAGCTATTCAAACGATCGAATACTATCGAATATTCGGCCGAGGGTGGCAGTGCTCCGTCAATTCGTATTCTCCCTAATCGGGCAAGCGGTCATATAATTCAATAATATACTATAGATATTAATGGCGAGCGCCAAAATTCTAATGTAGGAATACCTAATGCTGCCATCACCTCAAGAACATTCAACCAGACAGTACTAGTCATGCATCTATAGCTTCTTACGATGCATAACATGTATAACCACAATCGTAATCTCAGCCTATGCCTGCGGTGAGATACATGATCTAAGGTCAAGCAATTTGTCTTAGCTATTAGGATAACACCTATTATTTTCTTTCAGCCTTCCCTGTGCTGGTCCTAATGGTTGTGGGAGGTAGATAACTAACTTAATGCTATAAACCCCCCACTGCTAATGTGGACTAGGTGATACGCCACCATAGCCGCAGGCAAGTTTCACGGAGCATCTAGGCTGAATAAAGACTAATCTGCCTAGGTTAGTCTGCTATAAGATATTTATGTACATAATGTAGCTACGAAACTCTTCTCTAAGCAAATAGTCTACTTATCAAACAATCCAACTGGAGTTTAGTAACCCGTGATTTTGCGCTCACCCCAGCATAGATCTAGAATGCTGCTAAAGAACTTGCGGCTGGCCACCCCACCAAAGACCCAGTTTTTTGATGACTGCTCAAGATAGGCTGCAGCAACATCTGCGACATATCCAAATCCGCATATCCAAATCCGCATATCTGTGGATATGGATGTAATCTAATATCTCCATATCCGCAACAATATGATATGGATAGTAAATGGTATCCGCAGTGTGGATTTGGATATTTTGCGGATAGGCAAAATATATAAATATGGCTAAATCTATTACTGTATAACTTATGCATGTTTTGTTTGTAATTTATTGTTCTAGGGGTGTATAGGAAAGTTACCTTTTAGAATCTAAATATCAAGGTATAGAGTCATAGTATAGACTATAAGATAACTTATAAAAATAGAGATACTACTTAAAAGTCTTCTATTATGACTATGGTTTAATAATTTTATAATCCTTAAACCCTCTTGGAGCCTTCCAAGATCTCTTAGATCCCTGCATTAGTATATTATTCTGGGGTAAGGGATGTTTAGTCTTATCATCTAACTTATAATACTGCTCTACTAACTGTCCTTCTCTTCAGCCCCCTTCCCTAGTTCCTGTACATTATCACTTACTTAGCTAATGTTATGTTCTAGTCTAAATATTACCAGCATTATCTTCTTCTTCATTACTAATAAGCTTAAAATCTGCCTATAGATAAAGAAGAGCTCTTTCCTCCTCTATAGTAGTAATCTTACTAGCTAGAAGATACTCTTCTATTAATTCTAGCTGCTTCTTGTTTAAGCTTAAACTTTAATGTGTATATCCACATCATCAAGTCTTTGATTATGCAAGATTTAAGATGGCCGCACCGATAGTGACAGATATCATAAGCAGAGTTAAAAAAGACGTTTAACACCAGCCCCACTAGCTAGGATGGCAAGACCATCCTAAGTAAGTCTAGATAGTGCTAGGAACTTATACTTATGCTCTTTCTAGAAGGCCCTTAGTGATATATTAACTATGCCTATTATCTGATGTTAGTAATAAGTTATGGAGTTATTAATCACTACTAATTACTCTTAAGATATTTTATAAGCTCATTATTATCTATATTTAATTAAGAGTAGTGAGATCTAATTCACTGGTATAAGGCCCTGCTTAAAACTAGCATTTTAATCTATGTGTCACACCCTGGGATCCGTCTCTGCTGTTCCTGCTAGTCACTACTTTGGGAATGATATAGTCCCTGGACTATATCTGATACTGTAAGGATCTACTTGACAGGGTAGATAACCTGTTGACTAGGTAAGGATCGGTAATGATTATGAGGAGGGAAGAAATAGTATATTTAGTTGATCCCCTTGATATAAGACTAATCCTTGTCTTCCTCAGGACAGACAAGGAGGAAATGCTCCCATATATGTTCGCCAACTGTTTGATGGCACTTCAGCCATGATGCATAGACATAGGTGGGTGATATCATACATAGATGTAATGCAAGGTAATAATATAACCTAATCTGCATCCACTCCATTACAATCTACACCCCCTTCCACTGTGATAGCTGTCCTTAGTCATGCAGTATAGCTTTAATATTTCTAAAATAGAAAATGCTTTGCATCTAAGAAGTTAATTAATAAGGAGTTTAGGCTTATAGCTATAATCTAACTGTAGCATAAATAGCACATCTTTATTTTATTATGTTCTTTGTTTGCATATTATAAGGTAGTTATTATTAGGGTGATGTTATTATAAGTAACTAATTTACTATATATTATGCTTACTGCTTCTTTATTTTATTTTCTCTTTTATTATCTTAATAACTCTTTATTATTATATTTCCCTCTTTTCCCTTATCTTTTATTCACTGATTATAACATCTTCATTAATTTAGATGTTTACATTCATAACTCAGCATCCTTAATACTATTATGATTTACACCTATTCTCTTACCTTAATAGTAGTAGTTCTATAACTCCTATGGTGCATACGCTGCTTACACACCTCTATAAGGAACTTTGACCTATATGGTGGTGTCCTGTTTATAATTAACTGTATTTTTAATATGAAGAAGTTAATCTTATGCTCCTAATGCTCACATTATAATGTGATGTGCATTGCGGTATATGCACCTCCTAGTTTTTATAAGCTTTACTAACCCTAATGAGATGTTAACTAGCATGTTAGGTAACGCGCATAATCTCTCTATGGTACTCTGTTAGTATGCTGCCTTTTTTAAGACTAATGATAATAATACTCCTCTGTGAGATCCAGTGCTGTTTTCTAATATTAATAAGGTAGTAATAACCCTATGTGAAGCCTTTAAATATACAGAGTTAGCTCATTATAAGTGGCATAGACTAGCAGTTTCTTCTATCCCACAAGGGGCGGAGCTTTGAGGGCTCACTGGATTTAGGGTATTGTTGCTTATTGGCTGGTGGTGGGTGGGTCCAATGCTCACTGGATTTAAATATGGTCACCCCCACTGCAATTAGCACGTCAAGCTCAATTCAGCTGAAAATAAGATATGTTATTTAGGGGCATTAACTGTATAACTTATTCACTCTGGAGATGAAAATTCCATATAGAAAGGGTATTGCATGATGAAGAAGTTTAGGATGGTCCGCAATTGATTTGTTAGGGGATCGCGGAGATGTTATGCCATAGAATATGACAGGTCCAAAACCATCCACTCCAGTCAGGGGGCTTAGATGAATGAGCTGACCCATTCCCATTCAGCTGATCCAGTTTGTTCAATCACCCACCTGGACAATTCCAACAACATGGAGCATCAGATATTTGAAAGAGTTAGCATCTTGAAAATCATTATTTGTCGACAATGCTGGCATGGGGTCCGACCCTAAGAGGTCACACGGCACTTACAGTCCAAGCATCAGATAAAGCAGGCTGATGCCATCGTGATTGCTAATGCCATTCAGGGGTGGGAGGATATCAAGCAGGATTCTAATGCCATCTCCATCCCACTCGCATTGAATGATCCACTGCCCGTTTTACCATGTGAAGCCAACGGCTTATTATGCCAGCGGGATTACCCCCAGTGCCAGTATGTGGTTAGCTGCATGAAAACCATGCGACAACACTGGCAGACCAAGCATCAATGGACCCAGCAGAGACGGCGCGGTCGGGTCAGGTGTGAAGATCAAACCCAGAGCGCCGCTGAGCTCCACCGATCATTTCAATGTGTTTCATGGCAGCAGGTGTTTCCCAGTGGGCCAGGGTCCCATTACATTCGGATTCGATTTCCCGAGCGACCTAGCAAGCAACCCAGGCCCGCCCCCGCCCATCACGCCCAGGCGGCAGTGGATGAGGTGCTGCAGGCATGGGAGCAGGCCCAGGCCCAGGCTAAGGCAGACCAGGCCATCCAGGCCAGCCAGTTGACTGACGCAAACCCCTGGCTGCGGATGACTCGGTGGGCCGAGTATCTATCCCACAAGGGGCGGCGACTGTACTTGACACCGAGCTAGGGTTTAGCCCAGAGTGGTTTAGCGGCCGGGGTCTGGGGGTAGGGACCAACGAAACCGTCTGGGGTACAATCGTAGCGCTAGATGGAGTCGGATGCATTTCAAATTTCGGCAGGTTACTGGCTAGTTGGTTTGACATGATCTGACCAAATTTCAATGGGGAATTCGATGATTTGCGGCTGTGATAAGGGTGTGGTTTATATGCCAAATTTTGATGTGGTTTATTCCTGCTGACCAGCATGGATCCAAAAAGCACTGCCTATGACCACCACCATTACTGCAGGTAAGGTCAGAGGCAGTTTTAATTTAGCTAACTTGCTGATATGCTCGTTCCAAGTCATGTAGTTAAATTTCAATATGGAATTTGATGATTTGCAGGCATGGTGAGGGTGTGGTTAATACATAGAATTTAGTATGGTTTGTTCCCACTGAATAGTGTGAATCTGAAAAGCACTGCCCATGACCACCACCATTGCTCCAGGTAAGGTCGGAGGCATGTTAAATTTAGCTAGCTTGCTGATATACTAGTTCTAAGTAATCCAGCCAAATTTCAGTATTAAAATCAATGATTTGCAGGCATGGTGAGGGTATATTTAACCCCTAGGATTCATGTAGTTCAAGTTCCATAGATAGAAAAAGCAATGCCCATAAACAAAACATTCAGGGGCTGAATCCCATCATTATTCAGATCATCAATTAAGTAGTATAATATTCATCAGAACCATCCATAAAGAATGGAGCAGCAGCTATTCATCTAGCTTGACCAGCCACCCATCATTATCTGCCGGACCTGCCGCCATGGGGTGTGGCTGGCTAAGGTGGAAAGCCATCTCTGGGGGAAGGCCCATTGATTACCCTAGGCCACTGCAAAGCAGGTCCATCAGGTCATTCAGAGCTGGGAAGGCGTAGAGCATAACCCCCATGCTATTTAATGGCCTAGTCAGATTACCCAGTCCATCCCCCACCTGGATGAATACCCCAATGGGTTACTGTGCCAGCGAGACCTGGCTAAATGCTAATTCATTACCCGTTCACTTGATATGTTGAAACGACATTAGTGTGAGCACCATGGGTGGACCATACCATACCATGGGGGTCGATCACGCCCGCAGGAGCAGGAACAGGCGCAGATTGCAATCCAGCAGGGATATCAGGTGGTGACCTGCCAGCGGTTTTTCCTATCCCGAAAAGGGTCCCATTATATCTGGGTGCCATGCCCCAACCAGCAGCCTGAGGAGCAAGCCCGGACCGCACCCACTGCCCATATCCAGGCCACTGTTGATGCCGTGATCCAGGCATGGGAGCGGGCCCAGGCCTAGGCTAAGGCAGACCAGGCCATCCAGGCCAGCCAGTTGACTGACGCGAACCCCTGGCTGCGGATGACTCGGTGGGCCGACTATCTGCAGGGCATCCAGGCCCATGACCTGCTAGCCTGCGTGGCAGCCCCGGAGGAAGATGCTATGGATGCCACTGAGCAGTGGGTGCAGGTCATCTGGGCCACCATGGAGCAGGTGGCCCGCTAGAGCCAGCAGACAGTCCAGCATTGCAGCCAGGCCATCCGGGTAGAAGCTGTCCGGTCCGAAAAGGGGCAGACCCCATACCGGCCATTATTAGCATACATGGATGAGGCTGCGATCCAGAAGCATGTCCGTCCATGGCAGCAGATATTAGCATTTATTGCCCGCACGCAGGCCCCGCACGACTGGACCAGCCCGAAATACGGGATGACCGCCCGGCAGCGCAAGAAATGGCGGCAGCTGTGGCAGCTGGCGGGCCCAGGCCCCCGGGGCAGCCCCGATCCCATGGATCCCGAGACCGACGACCCGCAGCGGCAGGCATGGGCCATGACTGCCATTGAAACAGCATGCTTAGAATTTTGCATTGAGCTGCTGAACCAGCGCCATCGCAGCCACGAATATGAGAGTGCATTGGTATGCGCCATGGCCGTGTTGGGGCAGGGGGAAACCGGCTGGCGGGACCCCGAGAGCTACCCCCCAATATTATCCCGCGTGATCAAGGTGGCCCGATTCATGGTGGTGCAGAAGGCATTATGGATGGACCCCAATCCATGGCAGATCATTCAGACCTGGGCGCGGAAGGACCAGAGCGCTGAATGGGTGCTGGCCAGCGCGGATGATCAACTCGGGGAGATTGATGAGGGATATGGCAGTGATGACCCCCCATCCACCCCAGGGGCCCCGTCATCGCCCCTATCCCACAGGGGTTGAGAAGTCGAACAATGACTGCTCTAGGGTTTATTTGCGGCGTAGCGCTGATTGGCTGGCAGAGTGGGGAAGCTGGGAATGACTGCTCAAGACTTCATGAGAATGACTTCTCAAGGTTTTAGGGTCCAATCCAGTTCAAAATCTAGGAATCAATAGAAATGCCATTAATCTATAACAGAGCCAAGTTTCAGCATTATAGCTGCCCAGCATAGGGTGTAGCATGGTTTGGATTTAGTTATCGTGGTGGATTAAGGAACTTTAATGGGGTTTTAGGATCCACACCTAAACATTACATAGGCAGTCAACTGAACCACCTAGGTGATTGATCACATTTGATAACTCAGGGGTAAAGATGGGGTGTAAAAGGTAAGAGAGTGTACTTAATAAGTTTTATACTCCATTATCTTATAGGAATTTCATCAGATCGACCATTATAATATCAATATTTAACTATAAATTAATCACAATGGAAAACCAGATCTATCCCACAAGGGGCGGCGACCCTACTAGAGTCCGAGCTAGGGTTTAGCCCAGAGTGGTTTAGCGGCCGGGGTATGGGGGTAGGGGCCAACGAAACCGTCTGGGGTAGGGTCGTGGCGCCAGATGGAGTTGGATGCATTTCAAATTTCCGTAGGTTACTGGTTAGCTAATTTCACATAATCCAGCCAAATTTCAATGTGGAATTCGATGATTTGCGGCTGTGGTGAGGGGGTGGTTCAGGTGCAGAATTTTGATGTGGTTTGTTCCTGCTGAACAGTGTGAATCCAAAAAGCACTGCCCATGACCACCACCAATGCTCCAGGTAAGGTTGGAGGCATGGTAAATTTAGCTAGCTCACTGATATACTAGTTCTAAGTAATCCAGCCAAATTTCAGTATTAAAATCAATGATTTGCAGGCATGGTGAGGGCATATTTAACCCCCAGAATTTGGTATAATTTAAGTTCCACAGATAGAAAAAGCAATGCCCACAAACAAAATATTCAGGGGCTAAATCCCATCATCATTTAGACTATTAATTAAATAGTATACCATTCATTGGAACCATCCATAAAGAATGGAACAGCAGCTATTCATCTAGCTTAACCAGCCACTAATCATTATCTGCCGGACCTGCCGCCATGGGGTGTGGCCAGCAGAGGTAGAAAGCTATCTCTAGGGGAAGGCCCATTAACTACCCCAGGCCACTGCAAAGCAGATCCATTAGGTTATTTGGAGCTGGGAAGGCATGGAGCATGACCCCTATGCAGTGTAATGGCCTAGTTAGATTACCCAGTCAATCCCCCACCTGGATGAATACCCTAATAGGTTACAGTGCCAGCGCGACCAGGCCCAATGCCAATTCATCACATGATTAATTAATAAGATAAAACGCCATTAGCGTGAGCAGCATGGATGGACCGCACCATATTATGGGGGTCAATCACACCTGTAGGAGCAGGAACAGGCGCAGATCGCAATCCAGCAGGGATATCAGGTGGTGACCTGCCAGCGGTTTTTCCCATCCTGAAAAGGGTCCCATTATATCTGGGTGCTATGCCCTAACCAGCAGCCCATAGAGTGGCCCGTGGAGCAAGCCCAGACCGCACCTACTGCCCATATCCAGGCCACTGTTGATGCTGTGATCCAGGCATGGGAGCGGGCCCAGGCCCAGGCTAAGGCAGACCAGGCCATCCAGGCCAGCTAGTTGACTGACGCGAACCCCTGGCTGCGGATGACTTGGTGGGCTGAGTATCTGCAGGGCATCCAGGCCCATGACCTGCTAGCCTGTGTGGCAGCCCCAGAGGAAGATCCCCAGGATGCCACTGAGCAGCGGGTGCAGGTGATCTGGGATACCATGGAGCAGGTCGCCCGCAAGAGCCAGCGGGCGGTCTAGCATTGCGGCCAGGCCATCTGGGTGGAGGCCATCTGGTCTAAAAAGGGGCAGACCCTATACCAGCCATTATTAGCATACATGGATGAGGCTGTGATCTAGAAGCATGTCCGTCTATGGTAGTAGATATTAGCATTTATTGCCCGCATGTAGGCCCCACACGACTGGACCAGCCTGAAATACAGGATGACTGCCCGGCAGCGCCAGAAATGGCGGCAGCTGTGGCAGCTTGCTAGCCAGGCCCTAGGTAGCCCCAACCCCCAGGGTAGCTGGGGCTGCCAGGCCGCAGTTCCAGGGGACCTGGAGGACCCAGAGGGATGGGCCATGACCGCCATTAAAAAAGCATACTTAGAATTTTGCATTGAGCTGCTGAACCAGCGCCATCGCAGCTATGAATATGAGAGTGCATTAGTATGCGCCATAGCTATGTTGGGGCAGGGGGAAACTAGCTGGCGGGACCCTGAGAGTTATCCACCTATATTATCCTAGGTCATCAAGATCGCACAGTTCATGGTGGTCCAGAAGGCATTATGGATGGATCCCAACCCGCAGCAGATTATTCAGACCTGGGTGCGGAAGGACCAGAGCGCTGAATGGGTGCTGGCTAGTGCGGATGATCAACTTAGGGAGATTAACAAGGGATATAGCAGCAATGACCCCCCATCCACCCTAGGGCTCCCGTCATCGCCCCCATTATCCATCCATAGTGATGACCCATTGCCCGCGGTTAATATTTGCTATAGCCGCCGGCCATTCTAGGAGCAGGTAACATGGATAATACACTAGTTTATGATCCGCAGGACCCATGGCCCTATAGAAACATTGCTAGATTAGCAGATATATGGGTTAAAGGTCTATTATAACTATACGGCCCCCGGCCATGTAACATGGATGGGGGAGGACCAGCTGTTATACCAGCAGATGGCATTCACCATGGGGGATTTTCAGGGGTTCATCCATGGGTTAGTCACCGCGGCGCGGGAGATACTGGGCCAGTTATACATACAGGATCATGCATAGATGCCCCCCATTCTATGGACGGCATTATATGACGATCCCAGCCAGAGCCAGGCTGGGTGGAACTTCGTGCAGGACACACGGACCTGGTAGCCGGTGGATAGGACCTACTGGATGATTGACTGGCTGCGGGCCGAGCCGGCCATGCAGCAGTATTTCCTGCGGGGGGGCTGATTCCACTGTAGTGCCATCCAGCAGTACTGGCAGCGCGTGACCTAGTTTAAGGAGAAATTGGCTATTATGGTGCATATTACCACAGGGCAGCCAGCCCAGGCCCCAGAGTTATTAAGTGTTCAGCATTGCAACACTGCGAATAGTCAACAGCAGAATATATATATTGAGGATGGCATGGTGATGTTTATGACGGCATATTATAAGGGGTTTCATGCTAGTAATGATGTGAAGATCATCCATTAATATGTGCCGCGGGAGGTAGGGGAGTTGGTAGTATAGTATATCTAGCTGGTGATGCCATTTATTAACTAGTTGGCTGCATGGCAGGCCGCGCAGACCGCGCAGGGGAGCCAGGCCGCACAGGGGAGCCAGGCTGCACAGGGGAGCCAGGCCGCGCAGGGGAGCCAGGCTGCGCAGGGGAGCCAGGCCGCGCAGGGGAGCCAGGCCGCGCAGGGGAGCCAGGCCGCGCAGGGGAGCCAGGCCGCGCAGGGGAGCCAGGCCGCGCAGGGGAGCCAGGCCGCGCAGGGGAACCAGGCCATGCAGGGGAACCAGGCCATGCAGGGGAACCAGGCCATGCAGGCATGGTTATGGGGCCCCGACCCCGGTACCAGCTGGGAATGGTCGTCCGAGCGGTTCCAGGAGGCGTTGAAACGGGAAACCTGCACCTGGCTAGGCACCGCCATCTATATTGCCGCATACCAGGACATCGCCATTGGAATCAGCCGCTGATTTTTGTGGCTATCCACCGCGTTCCCCCATAATATCCAGGAGGCTGAGCCGGCTCCAGCTGCCATGGATGCTAATGCCAAGGAGGGCATGGATATTGAGCAGTGGATGGGCCATATTGCTGATTTACAGGCCGCCCATTCATCACACATTGCTGGCATGGTATATGGCCGTGTCATGCAGGAACAGGCCGGCAGCACAGCCCACTGGTGGGAGATGTTCTGGTTATCCAGCACTGATTGGCATTAGTTTTTAGGGTTTAGCGCCCTGGGCCACCCATCCATATTAGGCAAGTGCAAACAGGCCCCATGGGAGGATGAGGCTGAGGTCAGCCACATGGAATACTGCCACTAGCTAGCCACCATGGATCTGGAGGCGGCCGCGCAGCGCATGACCAGGCGGCCTGACATGCAGTTCCAGGGGGTCTAGGACCCAGTGATGTGGGCCATCCAGCAGGGGGAGAGCCCTGTGGTGGCAGTCATGCCCACTGGCAGGGGGAAGAGCATGCTGTTCATGGTGCCTGTGTTTGCCGCCCCCGGGGGCACCACCATCATTGTGGTCCCGCTGGTGGCATTACAGGCTGATATGATACAGCGGTGTCAGGAGCTCAGCATATTATGCATGCCATGGGAGAGCCAGCGGCCCCCCAATGCCGCATCTATTGTGTTGGTGACGCCCGAATCCACAGTCAGCCCTGATTTCCAGATGTTTTTGAACCGGCTGCGGTGGACCCGGCGGTTAGACTAGATCATGATCAATGAATGCTATGTGGTGTTGAATTCCCAGCATGATTTCTGGCCCCAGATGGCCTAGCTAGGCTGGTTGGTCCAGGCCCGCACCCAGATGGTATGGCTGACCGCCACGTTGCCCCCGAGCATGGAGGATAAATTATGCCAGTGGATGAAGCATGACCAGGCCGCTATAACCATATACCAGGCCCGGACCAGCTGGCCGAACGTGGCATACCAGGTGTGGCGGCCAGACATGACTGGGGTAGGCCAGGGGCCATATTAGTGGATTAAGAGCAAGGCTGTAGTGGTATTTATTCAGGACTGCATCTAATGGGCCGCCGGGGGGAAGGTAATCATATATGCAAATATCATCAGGCAGGTGACGGCCATGGCACAGGTGCTTGGGTGCAAGGCATATTACAGCAAGCAGTTGGACAAGGCCAGGGTGTTAGCGCAGTTCATGGGGGCCAGCCCAGTGATTGCTGCCACCAGCATGTTGGGCATGGGGGTAGACATCCCTAATATCTGCAGCATCATCCATATCAGGACCCCCCAGACGTTATTAGATTACGCGCAGGAGAGTGGCTGGGCTGGGTGGGATGGACAGCACAGTGAGGTAATCATTATCTAGCCAGCAGGGTGGGACACCCCAGTACTATAGATGGAGGGGGTGGCCCCTGAGGACCAGGAGCGGGTGGCTGAGTATATAGGGGTGGTGGAAGGGGTTAGGTGCCGCCAGGTAGTGTTAGATCAGTATTTGGACGGAGTGGTGGACGGGTATCAGCGGCGGTATTGCCAGGATGTGGATGCCAGAGAGCAGGCATGTGATGGGTGCGATCCCGACTGGGAGGGGCTGGTGGAACCAGCCAGGGTTGGTAGCAGCCCAGTGCTGTGTGAGGCAGGCAGCATGGCAGGGAGAGGGGCAGTGTAAGAGGCAGTCCAAGAGGCCCCATGTAAGGCAGGTAGGATGGTGGCATGAGAGGTAGCCTAAGAGGCCCCATGCCAGGCAGGCCGTCAGGCAGGGAGAGAGGTAGTGAGGGAGGCCCCATGCAAGGCAGGCAACATGGCAGGGAGCAAGGCAGCCGCAGAGGCCCCATGCAAGGTAGGCAGCATGGTAGTGAGGGAGGCACCCCAGGTCAGCCAGAGCCAGGTACTGTGCAAGGCCACCAGGGAGGCCGCCAGTCCCACCCCATCCAATGATTCATTTTGCAGCCAGCCATCCATTCCCATGGCGGTATGGCATGCCCAGCAGGCCCAGGCCCAGCAATGGGCCGCCATGGATATCCAGCAGCAGCAGCATCGGACCCAGCAGGGTTTGGATGAGGAGATAGCCCAGGCTGAATACATGCAGTGGCAGGACTAATGTTATATATGCGCCATGCAGGGGGGTGATGGTGGCTATAAGTTATATACATGTCATCAGCCCCATAGCCAGGCTGCATGGGCATGGATGATCCGCGTGTGGTGGCAGGTCCAATATGCCCTATATAGTATGTGTTATTCATACAGCATGCCCTAATCCATATACCATAGGTAGGAGCCAGGCCATGCATGTAAATACCACAGGTTTTTAATCCCTATGGTGGCCATGATGTTATTTGGGCCATGGCAGGGCCAGATCAAGCCTATATAGCAGCGCTGATTACAGGGAATGGGGGTTGATGGGCAGGATGAGGCCCAGGTGGTCCAGTTTTTTGGGCAGGCGCATCCTAACCATGAGGGGCACAGCCAGTTATTTACATCATTTTGTTGGTTACAGCAGTTATGTTAGGAGATTAAGGTTAATCAGCATTAATATATTAGTGAATGAATATATATTTTCAGATACTATAATGCGCAGAGATATATATTATACAGTTGGTTTATATAGTATGTTAGCTGAATCTGTGGTTTATACATAAGGATATATATATATAATGAGATATTGGGGAATATATTTAATATTAACCACAGCAGGGAGGAGGGAGCAATATAGGCTGTAGGTAGATAGTAGGGTAGATAGTAAGGTCAACTATAAGGTAGGCAGCAAGGCAGGTAGCATGGTAGTGAGAGAGGCAGCGAGGGAGGTCCCATGCCAGGCAGGCAGCATGGCAGGGAGAGAGGCAGGCTGAATAGCAGGTAGAATGGCAGGTAGGTAGAACAGTAGGCAGTAAGGCAGGTAGCATGGCAGTGAGAGAGGTAGCAAGAGAGATCCCATGCCAGGGAGGTAGCATGGCAGGGAGGGAGGCAGGCAGTAAGGCAGGCAGTGAGGCAGGCAGTAAGATAGGTAGGATAAGGCCCAGGTAGTCCAGATTTTCCAGCAGGCATAACCAACCAGGAGGGGCCCAGCTAGTTATTTTATATTATTTTATTAGTTATGGTGGTTATGTCGGGAGATCGAGGTCGATCAGCATTGATATATTAGGTGAATGAATATATATATTTTAGAATACCATAATAGCGCAGAGATATGTATTATATATTTAGTTTATATATGCTGAATTAGTGGTTTGTACACATGCATATATATATATGATAAGATGTCAGGGAATATATATAATATTAACCATAGTTAGGAGAGGCGCAGGTAGTGAGACAGGCAGAGTAATAGATAGTGAGGTAGGTAGAATGGCAGGTTGAATAGCAGGTTATATGGCAGGCAGAACAGCAGATAGCAAGGCAGGCAGTAAGGCAAGCAGCAAGGCAGGACAGCAGGCAGGACAGCAGGCAGGACAGCAGGCAGGACAGCAGGCAGGACAGCAGGCAGAACAGTAGGCAGAATAGCTAGTTAAATAGCAGGTCATTAGCAGGTCATTAGCAGGCAGAACAGCAGGCAGAACAGCAGGCAGAACAGCAGGCAGAACAGCAGGCAGAACAGCAGGCAGAGTAGTAGGCAGTGAGGTAGTGATTAGTGTAGTAAGTAAGGTAGTAAGGTTAATCATAATACCCCAGGAAGGTTGTGCATGAGGCTGGCAGTGAGGTAGGCAGCAAGGTAAGCAGCAAGGCAGGTAGTAAGATAAGCAGTAAGGCAGGTAGTAAGGTAGGCAGTGAGGCAGGCAGTGAGGCAGGCAGTAAGATAGGCGGTAAGACCAGCAGGAAGAACCCAGTGAGATAGGTAGTATAGTAGATAGTGAGGCAGGCAGTGAGGCAGGTAGTAAGGCAGGCAGTGAGGTAGACAGAATGGGAGGCAGAATAGGAGGCAGAATAGGAGGTAGAAGGGCAGGTTATATAGCAGGCAGAACAGCAGGTAGTGAGGTAGGGAGTAAGGCAAGAAGTATAGTAGGGTATAGGGCCCCAGAGAGGTTATGTATAAGGTAAATAGTGAGGTAGTAAGTAATGTAGTAAGTTAGGCAGTGGGTAAGTAAAGAGGTAGATAAAGAGGTAGATAAAGAGGTAGGTAAAGAGATAGGCAAAGAGGTAGACAAAGAGGTAGGTAAAGAGGTAGGAAGTGAGGTAGATAGTGAGGTATTTAGTAAGGTAGTAAGGTAGTAAGATAGGTTATAAGTAAGGCAGTAGGTAATAAGGTAGAATATAAGTTAGATAATGAGGTAGTGATGTAGGCCATAGGATTAGCAGTATAGATATATATATTATAGGGCAGGTTAGTATCAGAATATCAGCGTAAGCAATGGTTTAGGTTGATATACATCTATATATATATATATGTAACAAAGTATGGCAGGAATATACATAATATTAAGGCAGGCAGAGAGGCCCCATGTAAGGCAGGTAGTAAGGAAGGTAGTAAGGCAGGTGGAATAGCCAGTTAAATAGCAGGCAGAATGGCAGGCAGTGAGACAGGCAGCAAGATAGGTAGTAAGAGAGGTAGGATAAGGCCCAGGTAGTCCCATTTTCAGGGAGGCACACCCCAACCATAAGGGCATGGCCAGGTATTTATATTATTTATTAATTATAGTAGTTATATTAGGAGATTAAGGTCAATCAGCATTAATATATTAGGTGAATAAATATATATATTTTAGGATACCATAATAGTGCAAAGATATATATTATATATTTAGTTTAGGTTAAATATATTAGCTAAATCCATGGTTTGTACACATGCATATATATATAAGAGAAGATATTAGGGAATATATATAATATTTATCATATTCAGGAGAGAGGTAGGTAGTATAGTAGTAAGGGAGGTGGCTAGAGAGGTCCCATACCAGGCAGGCCATTAGGCTAGGAGATAGGCAGTTAGAGAGGCCCCATGCCAGGCAGGCCATTAGATAGGGAGAGAGGCAGGCGGTGTTTAAGGTAGTAAGTAAGGTAGTAAGTCAGGTGGTGAGTAAGGTAGTAAGGAAGGTAGTAAATAAGGTAGTAAGGAAGGTAGTAAGTAAGGTAGTAAGTAAGGTAGTAATGCAGGTTATAAGGCCCCAGAGAGGTTATGTATAAGGTATATAGTAAGGCAGGTAGTAAGGCAGGCAGTGAGGCAGGTAGTAAGGCAGGCAGAATAAGAGGCAGAGTAGGAGGCAGAAGGGCAGGTAGGATAGGAGGTAGTAAGGCAGATAGAATAGTAGATTAAATAGTAGGTTAAATGGCAGGTTAAATAGTAGATTAAATATCAGGTTAAATATCAGGTTAAATAGGCAGAATAGGCCGGAGGTAAGAGGTAGTAAGGATAATAAAGTATAGAAGAATAAGAGATAGAGTAAGGGTTAGTAAGTTTAAGATAAGAATAGGGGGTAGAAATATATAAGATAGATATAAGATAGAGAGAGTTTAAGTAAAGAGAAGAAATAAATAAGAGTAAAAATAGAAAAAGAAAGAGAAGAGGAAAGAAAAGAGAAAGAAGAGTAATAATAAAAGAATTATAAGTAAAGAAAAAAAAGAAGAATAGATTAAAAGAAATTTAATTAAGAGAAGGAATTAAGTAAGATATTAGATATAAGGGGTATAATAAGAGAGAGTAAAGATTAATAAAAGAGAGAGTAAGGGTTAATAGTTATAAAAATAAAGTAAGGATTAGTAGGAGAGAGGGTAAGGATTAATTATTATAAGAGATAGAGTAAGGGTTAGTAGTTATAAGAAATAGAGTAAGGGTTAGTAGTTATAAGATATAGAGTAAGGGTTAGTAGTATAAGAAAGAGTAAGGGTTAGTAATTATAAGATAGAGTAAGGGTTAGTAATTATAAGATAGAGTAAGGGTTAGTTATTATAAAAGATAGAGAGAAGGGTAGAAGTAAAAGATAAGAAAAGAATTAAATAATAAAAGAAGAGAGAGAGTAAGAGTATAAAAATAAAAAAGATATTAAGTATAGTAATAGAGAGAGTAGAATAAGAGGTATAAAAAGGAAAAGATAAAGAAGATAAA